TTCTCGCTTATCCTGGGTTAGCTTAATCGGGTTTTGAACAAAGCGGCCCAGGAGCTCCGCTTTTAGGCTTGGCTAAATCTATATATTATGGGAATGATTGATTTTGATCATTTTCTTAAATCCAAAACTAACGAGCCACCAAAGTTTTTATCCTCATTAGGCATAAGAGGAAGTAAATTTATATCTGTTTACAACTTTTCAGATCAGTAACTTGCTTCCTCTGGAAACCAGCGCATTTTGAATTTCAGAGTTATCGCGGTGAGTGACATAAAGGTACGAACGCGTTTGTCGAAAAATACATACTTATCTCGTGATTTTTAGCCTATTCAGAAGTTAAAGTATTAGGAAAAGGGCTTATGTAAATCTTTGTTTGTTCAGGACAGATAATCAGTGGCCTAGATAAACAAACTAAGTTCCAGATGTTTACACTATTTTCGGGCCGCCATGTTGGTGTCCCATGGAGGTACACCAACATGGCGGCTCCATACTGGGCTCTGTAAATTTGTACAAAATATTTCGACGAATATCTGAAGTTTAGGAAAACGCACAGACTCAAGACTTGGAGAAGTGTCTTCTTTACCAATCTCCTATAACATCACAATTGTCTAACTTTATCCACTGAATGGTTTTCGAATTATTTTTTAATTCTGTGACAGTGCAAGCCCAGAATTCAAACGCTTTTTACTATTTAATATGTTTCTGCTACAGATCATAGTCTTGGTTCTTGATGAGTTTCTGACCGTTTTACGACGATTCCACGAGGTTTAGTTTTGACCCTATTTCTATATCATCAGTGGTATTGAAGCAAAAACTGGCTGAAAAATCACTTTGAAACGGCCTAAGCGACGCAAAGGAAGGCGTTTTCAATGTATTGAATTTTCCGTATTTTTACCTGCTGAATATGTTCGTTACATCACATGGAGCACACAATCTTGCTGAGTAGGAAGAGAGTAAATAAAGGAATGAAAAGAATGAATAGTTTACCTTTGTCTCCTGTTGTCATCTCTTACGCGACCTTACAAGAAAAACCGCTACCTGCAAATCCTGCGTAAACTCGTACCTAGGCCTTTTCGCGCTCTGCGAATTTTTTTTTTGGTTTGCATATAACATTGACGTCAGTGTTATATGCAAACCAAAAAAAAAAACATTCGCAGAGCGCGAAAAGGCCTAGGTACGAGTTTACGCAGGACTTGTAGGTTGCGGTTTTCCCTGTAAGGTCGCGTATGAAATGACAACAGGAAACAAAGGTGAACTATTCAATCACTCTTTTCATTCCTTTATTTACCCTCTTCCTACTCAGCAAGATTGTGTGCTCCCGGTGGTTACATTCATGTACCAACTCTGAATTAAATTTACGTTGTTTCGTAGTATCGTTTATCGCTGAACTAGTCCGCGCTGAAAAGGAAAATCTGCTTGAGGTGCGTATTGAAGAAATGTTGGTTTCCCTCTTTTTCTTTACGAACCTGCAAAGATAACAAGAAATCGACGATGATATTTCTCCAATACGGACCTCACGTTAGTTCGGTGACATCTAGGAACAGAAACAGCAAACATGTACCGTGTTTCTATCGAGTTTTAGTATAAATCTACCAGCGTTTTACCACGAATGCCGTTCTCTGATTGGCTACGCTACTCACTATCCATGATCCTGTTGTAGATAGCGAGTAGCGTAGAAGTGAGCGCTTGTTAACGAATTTGACTCGGGCGTGATAGTTGACTCGATAAAGGGAAAAAACAGTTTCACGAAAGAGACTAGGACGAGTTCAACCTCGGGCTGATCATAATTCCAAGAAAGCGTTGAAGAATTGAGAATGGTAAGCACGTTTTCCACTCCAATATTTCGGCGTCCCGTATACTGTCGAAAATGTTCCGGTTGGTCGACCTAGAACCGAAATTTCCGGAATTTTTGGGTAAATGCATGGTAAACAGCCTGGGTTACGTCAATAAAAACGATGCGCCACAGGAAAACCAGACTTATTCGCGAAGACAAATCTGATTATTTCTACCTGTAGCTACGACACTGGCGCTAGTGTATTCATATAAAGAGCACATTAAATGTTGCCTATCCGATGTGCATATTTCGTGAATGCCTTAAGCAGACACTGGCTTTCACGAAACAATAATTTGAATACAACAGGCCATATTCGTATTTAACTGGAACTAGCTTACAATACAGGCTCATCATGCGAGGATTATCATGACATAAAGAGATTTATGTTATTTGCATTTGAAAAGACTCCTCGCATTAACCTCAATTGCGAGGTAAGCCTATTTCTGTAAAATGTGCCATGCGAAAGTACGTAAACTTTTCACGTGACCACGTAAACACCGAAAAATAATCTGGTCGCCACTGTGACTGAGCTCTGCCCCCAAAAAGCCTTGTAAGTCTTCTGATAACTAGCATTAAGCTATTCCTGTAGATCGAGCCAATTGAGAAATGGTATCGCTGTTTACGAGCTTTCATTTTTTCCGTGAGTTTTCAGAAGAATTGTCAAGAGATAATGAGATCAAATTAATTTTAATGAGAATTATATTTAAAATTGTAGTTTACGTTGTCAGTACCTGTTCTTTAGATTGATTAAAGTTATCGTTTGGATGATGAAAATAAAATAAATAAAATAAATAACAACGTGGAACCAAACCCCATTCCATCCATCGTTTTCCGGCGGGATCATTTGAGGTTCGGGATCATTTGCAGTCCAAATCGGGAATCATTTGCGGTCGGCGATCATTTGCGGTGCTGTACATTAAACTCCCTCATTATAAAACTGAGAAAATTACTCCCTCGTGATTGGCTGAGAGCAGGCCAATTCATCGATCATTTTTAATTTGCACCGCAGTGAAAATAAACGCGTGCGCTTTCGTGATTATCTCAGTCATAATATATGAGTAATCGTATGAAAGCTCGAGCAATCCTCCGTAAGAAAAAAGATGGCGACTGGTATATTTACTTAGCGCACGAAAACCTTAACAACGTTCATAAAAACGTACAGAAACGTTATAAACTCTACAAACCTAGGCTACTCAGTGTCCTTAGTACAGGGACAAATATTGTAAAAAGTTGGCTTTCTTTGTGCCTTACAGGCTGTGTTAGGTTCGCAAGGCATTGTGGTAACATGTACAGCCGCCATCTTTTCTCCTACGGGGGATTAAGGATTTACTCTACTCGTGATATTTGAAAATTATTTCAAATTGCACTCGCCTAAAGGCTCGTGCACTTTTGAGAGAATTTTCAATTAGTTGGGACACTTGAGCCGGACCACGTGTCCCCCATCTCCTCTAATCAATGTTGGAAAATATCGCATTTTTTTCAACAAAAATGGAAAAATTCACCTCATTATCAACATTGTAAGCGAGGGGAGGGGAGAACTTGCTTGGTGTCCCAAGACTTTTGTCTGGGATTGTAGGTAGCGCGCCGCAAGAAGTGAAAGTTTTCTATTGTTTTTTAGTGTTAATCATTGTATTATAATAGGCCATTTTCAAGAAGTAAAATTCTAACTTGGCTCCGGGAATAAAACAAAAGCAATCACATCGAGGCTGAGGAATGAATAATTAATTTCTTTTGTTTCATTATCCTAAGCCTCGGAACCAAGTTAGAGTTAAATATCGGAAATGGCCCATCACTGTACTTGTGTTATTTTCTATAGTGTCTGTTTTGTAAACAAATAGATAAATAAATAACAACAACAACAACAAAACACCCAAAGTTGAATTCATCTGCTTTAAAAACGCGCAAATAATTCCACACAGTTCTTAATTTTCCTCTTCTTCATCATTTCCTAATTGCGAATCAAACTGTTCTTTGCTGATCTTTCCCGCCTTAAGCTTTTTAACCAAGCTTGCTTCCCGCGCGAGGTCCTCGAGTTCGTCGTTATCAAATGAATGTTTCTGACGCTGCTTCTTCAGATATTCTCTTCGTGCCCTCCGTTTCTCTCTCTTCACCCTCTTCTCCTTGTTCTTGGACCAGGCCACAGAATCGTTGCCGAATTTCTTCTTCTTCTTCGAGCTGGTTTGAATCGAACTATCCTGGTTGGAGTCCTGTTGTTCCTGCAGTTTTCGCTTCCGTTGCTTTTCCCTATTTTTGTCCTTGTAATAAAGTTTCTCGACATCCACATCTGCTGGTTCAAAGTCGACTGTTTTATCCTTCAGCTCTGGCATGACGGGCAACTTGAGAAGGCCAAATCCGGTGGCGAGTTTTCCAAGTTCTAGATCTTTAGAAAAGTTAAACGGAAAGAAAAGGCAATTTAACACAACACATACAAATAATTCTGTCTGTATATAGGGTTCAGAGCCAACTTAAATTTTCAAAAGGTGGCTCTGAACCCCGTTTCCGTTACGGTATAACCTAAGTTGACTCCACAGAGTAATTTCTTACAGTATTGAGCGCATTAGCATTATATTTTGAATACTTTCATAGTTTTCGCGGTCGTTTTTACTCCCTGTCCCACGTCAATCAAACTTATCAAATGCAATAAGAAAGAATGGCATAGTTTTGTTATTGTTTGGGTTGCACGTGCGAACTAGAACTGAAGTCCAAAGTTCTTCAATCATGGTGGGAGCCAAGTTTTCAGGAAAACACAAAACACATTTCCTTACCACTTGATCGGAAGATTAGACTGCACTCATGTTTTCTGTAGAACTGCACAAATGAGACAAAAGCCTTCATTCCCTTTTCGTATACATCCCTGAAACATGATAGGCAATACACATTCATGTAAATATCTTACATTGGCGAATGATGAACATGGAACACACGGCTGGGGCTTGGAGCCTACATAACGGCGGCTTTCAAGTCACGAGCACCGGGCTACGGGGGTAGGAAAGGGTGGAAGGGGGTGGGAGGGATTGGAAGATGAACTTTTTATGGCGGGGTCCGTGACATGTGCGATTGATAACATCAAGATTCCTCTCCTGCTATGTTATTCCGAGGCCTGTAAATACTAAAGACTAAAGACTAAAAGTGAAGAAACCTGATCTAGAGACAAGTCGTTAACATTGATTCAGGTCTCGATCGTACCCAGTGTCAATACAAGTCATGACAAGAGGATTGTGCTGCGGCAACATTTCAAACATTCAGAGGAAGGACGTTTAGAACTGTTAACCAGTCTCCCCTCAAGCAACCCCGTCAGCACCATTAGCGGTGGTCCACACGCAGCTTCTTCTGCTTTCTACCTCTTCATCCTCCCACTCCTCCCCTTCCTCCGGAGTCCGCTGCCGCTTACGCCTCCTACTTCTCATTCTCCTCTGCCTCCTCCCCTCATTCTCCTCTGCCTCCTCCCCTCATTCTAACTTCCTCCTCCCTTTTCCTCCCCTTCAACACCTTCTCCCTTCATGTCTTCCTCCTACTCCTACTATCGCTCCTACTCCTCCTCTTCCTTCACCTACTCCTCTTCCCTCCATCTTAACCATACTTCTCCATGTCTCCTATAGTCATACCCTCTTTCTCTCGGCCTTCTTGTACTGCAATCAGCTATTTAATCATGTAAAAGCCACTTCAAAGAAAAAATTCGAATCAAACAGTGTACTGTCTACCTGTCCTTCATGGCCATTTTTCGTAGCTTGGGCGTGACATCTGCTCCATCATCTTCTATTTCAAACAACTGCAGAGGTACCTGCTCTCAAGAGAATAACGTAAAGCAAAATCAGAACTACAATGAGAGNTCTTGCCTAAGAACACAACACAATGTCCTCGGCCAGGGCTCGAACCCGGACCACTCGATCAGGAGTCGAGTGCCGACACTAACCATGAAGAATTACAAATCGTTTGTCGAAATTATTTATGGCCCATATACTTATCCTAATGACCCAAACTTTTTATGGATTTGCCACGGGCCATAGGCTCATTTGCCTGTTTTGTCTTCCCAATCCCTAACACTGCTACTGTTTTTCTCATTAAACCTTTTGTTTGGTGGCGCTCTCGTTGCCGTCAAGTTGCAGTCGTGGTTTACTTCAGCCTGGTTTTCACTAGCGACGCAAGCACAAGCGCAAGCAAAAGGGATGACTCAAGTGGAAACGAAATTCGACGCAAACACAAGCACAAGCAAAATCATCCCAACCTTCCAAACTGTTTTACGGCGCTAGGTAATCTGGATCCAGTGTTTTCATTGGCCAAACATAACCATGTATGGTAAATATCCTTGTGCTTGTTTTATGCCTGAGCAGTATTTCGTTTTCACTTGTTGGAGCGCAAATGCAAGCTAAGCGCAAGCACGGGAGAAAAAAAAAAAGATCCTTGTGCTTGTGGTTGCGCTTGCGCTTGTGCTTATGGCTGCGTCAAGGCCATTTTCACGGTGAAATAAGAACTATTGTGTTCGGCTCGTGTTTGCGCCGCTAGCGAAAACCAGGCTATAAACTCTCTAGTAGTGCTGCGCGCAAAGTAGCAGCGTCACTGTGAATCAAAAAAGGTTCTAACAATTTTTGAAACGAGTCCTACTTTGCACTGCTTGGAGGATCAAACTGTATGACCCAGTCCACTTCAGGGATGTCCACTCCACGCGCCATGACATCCGTGCAAACCAAAACACCACTGAAACAGCAAGTTAGTAATAAACATAAATGTAATTTCGGACAATTTAAGGGACGAAATTAGCCAGAAATTTATTAGAGACTTTTACATCCACGTTTACCGCAAACGGCAAAAGGCTAGCGGTCACGTGCTCAGAGCCAGACGTCACGTTTAATGTTTTCGACTCGCGTTTTGAACGTCAAGAGGTAGGTTTTCACATTAGTGATTTACCTCAAGTTTTATTACCTTGAATTTTATTTCATACCACGTACAAATGCTGAAATCGAATAAAGCAACCCTTTTTCTACAAATTGGTCATGATAAGATAATTCTTAGGCAAGTAATCAATTACCTTGCTTTTTTTGTTGTCTGTAGAAAGGTACTGATCCTAAGTGGAAATCCAATATGGTGGCGACTTAAGGTGCATGAATGTGTGTTTTACGATGCTGTATTTCCTAAAAAGCTACACATGCTAGAAACTGCATACTATTTTTTTGTTTTGGCGTAACTTTCGCAATTCCCAATGCATTGACAGGATGATGTCTACTCGCTCCAATTTACTCCAATCTAAATCGACTAAGGTCCAAATGGCGAACGGCAAACGTGTAGCCTCAAGCCGCAGTTAGACGTTTGCGGTAAATGCGGATCTAAAGGTCTCTATTATTCTGACGGCACGATGGAGAGGCTCGAGGGTTATAATGGGACGTTTAGGGACCATTTAGTCTTTTGGTGAAAGATTTAGATCATTTTAATTAAGTCAGTCTTCGTGTTCGTCCACTTTTTACATTAAGTTTTTTTTTTTATAACAACTTGTATGTGAAACTGTAAAATGTTCTAGGTTGTTGATTTTGGGCCCTTTCCTCGAATACTTTTCCACATATTTTTTGGCCACGTCTACACATCTAAAGGGCGGTTTTTTAGTGGTTTTCCGTATCTGGCGTAGCACAGTTTCTGATCGTTAGAACCAATAGTTGTAATTTGCAAGGATACAGATTTGCAGGTTAACGAGGTAACTGACATGTGTCAGTGACTACATGTTTACAACTGGCTTACCTCGCAAGCTTCCTGAAGTTATCAAAAACTTTATGCCGTTTTGCTTTCATTTTGCCGTGAATAGACAACACTTTAACGTTCGAAAGAAGCCTGCAAAAAAACAATACATATATATTACTCAACAGCTATGTTTTATCGTGCTCCACAGCAGCAATTGCAAAAATGTACACTCATACAGTCGAAACTCTTCACAATGACCACCTTGGGGAGGAAGAAAAAGTGACCGTTGCAGAGAAGTGGCTGTTATGGGGAGATAGGAGTGTAGTCTGACACCTGTTTTTTTCAGTGCAAATTTTTTTTTTTTTNATAAACACGCAAAAAAAGAACTTGGCCAATATCCAGCCATCTTGACCTCACACTTGGTCAATAACCCATACTTATTACTCAAATAAACGCGAGGTGGCGAGTCTCACTGGTTAAGAGAAACGCGCGCTTTTTCCCGTAGGTGCGCAGTACGGATCAAGTTTTGTGACCTTTTGCAATACAAATAGGCTTTTCTATACGCCGTTCATCAGTCGTTGATTAATTGGCCGTTTTTGAGAGATTTTGCGCGCAGTTGGGATACTTCTTCGTGGCCGTGGCCGTGGCCGTCGTGGAGAGGTGGGCGTTATAAAGAGGTTAAAATAAGAGTGAATGTATGCACTGTCTGCTGGGACTAAAAAAACTGTGGCCGCTGTAGAGAGGTGGACGTTAGTGGAGGTTCGACTATAATCCTATAACTGCACGATTCTTGTATATAGCACCAAGGTTTAATGTCGATGGAATTGATGGTTAATAACTGAAAATGTACCATAATTCTTTTGATAGTCGGTAAATGATTGCTGGTTCTCTTAGCTTGTACTAACCTCTCAAGAGCCTTTGAGAAATAATTGACACAAGCACACGTACTAAAAAATACCATGTTCTTGCAGGTCTGAACAGAAAAGAAAAAATTAGAAATCAAAGAAATACAACATGTACCTATAGAAGGAATCAAATAAGAGAAACAGACCTACTGTTGTCACTTACTTTTCTTGTCTTGAGAAAGGCCACTAATCTTGAAAACTTTCTCGCACTTTCACAAATCTACAACAAAATGACATTAAACTTAACATTCATGGGATTAAAATTATAATCTATTATCAGAGACCTGCAATTCATGCAGAAAGCTTAATTATTTAGTTCTCTGCATGCATTGCAGACCTATGATAATAGATTTCAAAGATCTATCATCATAGGCCAGCAATGCATGCAGAGAGCTTTATTATCTAGCTCTGCACGCATTGCGATGATCATCTACGATGATAGAGAATTATTGTAAGTTTAAGAAATACTGAAAACATATTAGTTCTTCCACAACCTCGCACTGATTATCTGACGGGAAGGTTTTTGTACAGTGGAGCTCAGTTGTGGAACAACTTCCCTATAGAACTAAGACAAGCAACTTCATTAACCAAGTTCAAGACCACACTATGTTGCCACAGTGAATTTTTTTCCACATGGCCTCCATGAAAAGCAGTTTTTATTTTTTTGGAATTTGTACTCTTTGATTGCAAGTAGTTAGGAAGATAGGTAGCTAGTTGATTATCATAAATACAGTGATGGAAATACCATGCATAAATAGAGTTATCATATTGTATCATATCCTATTATCATATCCTATCCTATTAAACTCAACTGACTTATTGCAGCCCCTCTGTAAATGGTCAGGAGTTTTCGTGCTACCACAATGCCAGCGCTGGGGGGGGGGGGGGGGGGGGGG